CAAATACTGTGTGCATATTGATCAAAGAGCGACCTCAGGGCAGTTGTCCCCTTCCCTCGACCCCGTTGGTGGGCCTGCTTCTTGCCTATACTTGGGTTCTTTTTCTCAAGGACCCAACTAGGATAAAGGGCAGGACAGATGTTTCATTCCCATTGCCTCAGACAGCATTTCCTCCTGCGTTGCCATGAAATCACATGCTGTTGAGTAAAACCTGCAGTTATTTCAGTGTCTTATCACATTAGCAAGCTGTGCTGCTTGCTACGGGTCAGGGCATGCCTGGGCATGCTACCTTTGAGAAGCACAGCAGGGGTGACTGGAAGCTGCTCACTCATCTTAATGGGGAAGAATTTGCCATAGCAACTGAACCTGAGTATAACTAGATTGTTTTAACCCTTAGTTATTTCTGAAATAACATTTCGGGTACCTTGCTATTGTCTTCCCATGATGTGGCAACACCTGCATGGACTACTACATGAGTCCTCATATGTCAGTCAGGTAGTTGTTAGCCAATCCGTATGCAGGATCGTTGTTGTTCCTCCTCCGGTCCAGTCCCTGCCATGGCTGATGGACTGCTCCCTTTTCTTGGCGGCTTTGTCCTGTCTGGTTTTAAATGACACAGATGATAGGGCTTTTTTCATGTCTCCTAGATCATTCCACAGGTTAATAAATCAGTCTGGGAGGAAATTTATCCTAAGCTTCACACCAGGTTTTCCATAGTTTACTTTCTTCCATTATTCCTAGTTCTGTCTCTCCATCCAGGATGAAACCAAAACATTCCTCACAAATCTTGGTGTTTTCAGCTATTCACAGTCCATCTTCTTAAGTGGAAGTAACGAGGAGTCCTGTGGCACCTTATAGACTAACAGATTTATTGGAGCTTAAGCTTTTGTGAACAAAGACCCACTTCGTCAGATAGTCTGTTAGTCTATAAGGTGCCACAGGACTCCTCGTGCTTTTGCAGATTCAGACTAACACGGCTACCCCTCTGATACTTCTTAAGTGGGGCACTGTGGGGGGCTGACAGCCCGAGCAATTTGCCCCCAAGGGGTAGGGCCTCAGATGTCAAAGGCAGCAACAGGTGATGTAAGCAATGCATCAGATACATGGACATTGCATCAACTTAACTACGCTGACCTAAGTGCTGAGCCTCGTGGTGGGCGACTGACATCGGCTGGACCAACAATGTAGAATGGACACTTGCAGCGTGAGGTCAGTGTAAGCTCTGTCATGTAGAGCAGGCCTGAGTGAACGGCTGCTGCAAAGCTGGTCTCTGTGCAAACATGACCCCCTGAGGGACACAATGGGATCACAAGTTAAGGGACGGACACCCTCTCTGACGGCTCATCTAGACTACATTAGAGTGTCGAAAGAGGAGATGCAGATTCCACGGGAATTTGCATCTCTTCTTCCGATTTCACTTTCGAAAGTGAAATCGGAAGAAGAGATGCAAATTCCCGTGGAATCTGCATCTCCTCTTTCGACACTCTAGCATAGTCTAGATGAGCCCTGAGGGAGCAGTTCAGCGACACAGCTCTGCATGGCCTCGGGTGGAGGGGACAGAGCTGGGGCAGCCAGTCCTTGGCGCTGCACAGATAGTGCCTTCCCGCCCCCCAGCACAGTCCAGAGCACACCACATGGGGCTCTGCAGTGCGTCACACAGGGCTCTGGTAGCATTTTAAAGGGTCCGGGGCTCCAGCTCTCGCTGCTGTTGCTGTAGTAACAGCAACGGCCAGGAGCCCTGGACCTCTTTGAATCACCGGGCACCGGGACAGTCGCCCTCTTTTTCCCCGTTGCTGGGCCTGCTTCTTGCCTATACCTGGGTTCTTTTTCTCAAGGCCCAGGATAAAAGGCAGGAGAGACGTTATTTCATTCCCATTGCCTCAGACAGCATTTCTTCCTGTTTGGGCAGAAAATCACATGCTGTTGAGTAAAACCTACTGGAAGCTGTTTCCTCACCAGGTTATTAAATCATTTGGGGAGATACCCTTTCACCATAATTACTGGCTTTGTGCTGCTTCCTCCTCCCTGAACCATTATCTCCTTGTCACGCTCTCATAAACCGGAGTTTTCTTAACCTCTCCATTTATCGGGTCAGATTCTCTGCTAGTGAAACCCCACTGGCTTCAGCGGAGCTAGGCCAATACTGACATCAGCCCACTGTGTTAAACCTGTTCAGATACTCAACCCTCTCAGAGGGTACATATGAATGTCAAACATACAGCTTTTTGTGTGGCTGGTTATGGGCTCCATGCTTTTATTTACGAAGGACAAAGTCTTCTACAGCCAGCACCTGCCCCTTGTCTGAGATCTGATAGGCGCTGCTCTTTTAAACATATTTGCAGCTGTTTTTCCTTTTAAAGGGGTGTTTTGCACCACCAAGATTACTTATTGCCCCTGAGCCCACCCAGTCTTTACCTCTGAATTATGTCCTACACAACACCCTGCCTGGAAACTCCCAACACTTTCCTCCCCTGTTTATATGTCCTCTACCCCAGCTGGTTCATTACCCATTGCTTATGCCCGTTACCCCTTGGCCTGATTTACTCCTCTCCGAAGATCATCTGCCTCTAGTCAACATGTTCCTTGTTTCTAGAGCTCTCTCTTATACCTCACCTGTCAGATTTGTGACACGAATGGAAATAAACGGATGCATTTAGTTCCTTTCTCCAATGCAGAGGTCCCATGTCTTGAACAAATATGTTTCTCCCCTGTCTTGTCTAGGAACCCAATGGGGACCCCCTGCTGCAGGATTCTCCCATATTCTCAGTATGGAACAATTGCAGCTTCTTGTTGTCCTGGGTTTTCCAGTTCACTCCGACACTTGCAGCAACGTGTGCACATGCACGGTTCTAGGGTGCTGCTTGTGAAGAAGCAGAACACGCGGTCCCCCTAAAAAACACCAGACAGGAAGTGCAGCAGTTGTTGGGTGGAACATTTCTTTAAATTGGCCAGAGGCCTGTATACGGGGAGATGGGACGCAGACTAAGAATCATATAAAAGAAACATGGCTCCCCACTAAAATACTTTGCGTTACTTAAGGACGTGTGATCGCTGCACAATATGAGCCATTCTTTCATGCTGTATTTGGCTTGTAATGGCCAGGCAAGGCTGGGAGGAAGGAGGGCCCCTTTTCTCTAAGCCATCCTATGTGCATCCAAATGAACATAAATGTGCATTTATAACAAAGTGTCTATTGGTTTTGTAGAAGGGCCAGGGTGAGAGAAAAGAAATGAAAATAAAACGTGAATCAAGTGGAAGCGGAGGAGGAAAATATACAAAAGAAAATCAGCTAGAAGGTTGGAAAAAAGTTTAAAAAGTGAGCAATTCAAAGAGAAGGGAGCTAAGTAAAACAACCACAGGGGCGGTGATACGGCAAAGAGGAGGAAACAATCAGACAGTTCCCAGGAAGAAAGGCAGCAACCAAAACAGACTTTTTGATTGAGTCAAGTCATCCCTTGCCTGGGCTGTACAGAGAAAGGCAAGCAGCCAACCCATTTTGTTGTGGGACTGTTTAGGCTGCAAATGCCATGGCAGCATTCCCACATTCTGCAGTGTTTATATCCATGCGCTGCTATTAACTACAAAAACATGTGCAGGGGAAATGTGCGCTGAGAACAGTTAAGGCTGGAAGTGGGAGGATGATATGCTTGGGAGCGGAATGACTTCAAAAAAAGCACGGCTGCATTTGGTGGCAATTTTGTAAAATTGTGTCTTGCTCGCACTTTTCGGCAGAGAAAGGATTTTCATCTTCAAAAAGAGCACGTTGATACCGCTGGGTTATTATGAGCTACGAGCTACAGAGGGCCGCTACGTTTATACAACACTACATTATTTATAATAGCCCTTTCAGGAGCTGGGAAATAAAAAGCCTTCCTTAGAGGTTTGGCTCTTTGCTTCCATTTGGCAGCCACGGATATTGGGTCCAGAGCCTGAGCAGCGTAAATGGGTGTAGCTCCCCTGATTTTCTACTGCCAGCTTGGCATTTGGTGTAACTTAGCATAACCTCACTGAAATCAATGGAACTGGGCTGATTTACACCAGCTCAGGATCTGGCCCTTATATCATCAACATCCGCACACATCTGGGAACAGATTAACTGCTACTTGAAAACTTGCCGGGAGAGGCCAGGTATGGTTTCTGAAGGGACAGAACCACACAAAATGGTTGTCGTTTGGCTTTCCATTTCCTGACTGCTCTTTTCTACTCCTAATATTAAGAATCTGGAAGAAATGTATCACCAGGGCTACATCTAGACTACAGGCTTCTTTCAGAAGAAACTTTTTTTGGAAGAGATCTTCTGAAAAAACTTCTTCCGAAAGAGCGTGTCCACACTGCAAAAGTGCATTGAAAAAGTGATTGGCTTTTTCGAATGAGAGCATCCCGACTGAATGGATGCTATCTCGCATGTAAGCTGTGATTGCTGTGGACGGAATGGCCACCAGGGCACCTGTGCTTTTTCCTCTTTCCTCTTCTTCCGAAAGAACTCCTTCTTCCCTGTCCACACATGCCTTTGCGAAAGAGCTCTTCCTCAAAAAGGCTTCTTCCTCGTAGAATGAGGATTACCAATTCCAGAAAAACCCCTCTGTTCTTTCGATTTTCTTTTGGAAGAACGCAATTGCAGTGTGGACGTTCCTCAAGTTTTGTCGGAAAAACAGCTGTTTTTCCAACAAAACTCTGTAGTGTAGACATTCCCCAGGTGAACAACAACAATTGGAGGTAAATTACATTTGGGGTCTAAATGGCTTGAAGTATCATGTGAAAGTGAAAAAGCACAGGTGATTATAAGATTTGACAGTCTAGAACTCTCAGCTTGTGATTTCACCCATGTTCAATCTTCACCATCCTGAACTGCTAATCCAAGAGGGCACCTGGCAAAGCACTGAGAACCTTTTGCAAGACAAAAATAATGGACTGTTTTCAAAAATAAATGCACACAGGACGCTCATGTTTAAAAAAGGTTCTTTTAATCAGAAGCAATTTTGCAAAAGAAGAAGTAATTCTTTTTCATATAAAAGAAGGGAGTGGTGGAAGTGAGACTAACAACAGGCGTGGAACAAAAACCAGGTCAAATCCTGAAGGAAAAAACCCCCAAGTAAATGCAGGATCCAATTACCACAGTACAGTAAAAAGAGACTAATTCTGAAACGAGCTGTGAAACATGGGTTCTACCTCCTAAGCTGACAGCAGACACATCAAAAGACTAACTCTCCGTTTGAAGGGTAACAAGTGTGTGGCTATGTACTCAGTGTACAGTCTTCTTGTGCCTTCCTGCTACCTGAGACCTCATGCTGAACAGACAGAGAGCACAGCACAACCTGTTTTTCATAGGCTTAATGTATACAATACACTAGGTCCAGTGCAAACATACCACACCTGCACCAGTCACATTACTAGGAAGATGTCATTTCCACATTTGGTTTAGATCCCTTAAAGTGAAGCTGCTCTGCGCATGAAGCCTGGGTTTGTGGAATTTTGGCTTGTGAATCTGAAGGGTGTGTTGCCCCAGCCATTAAAAACCCATGGCTGGTTCATGTCTGCTGACGTGGGCTCTTAGGAATCGGGCGATGGGGGCTGTTTAATTGTGGTGTAGATGTTCGGGCTCAGGCTGTAGCTCCAGATCTGGGGTCCCCTTAGACGCTTGGGCCCAGGTCTCACAGCTAAGCTACTGCATCCATATTACGCTACTCAGACCACCTGACTTGGGATGGCGGCCCGACCTGCACACACATTGTAAAAAGAAAGGGCTTGGACCTGAGTTACATCAGGATTTGGCCTCTGGCCCACCCTCAGCAACAGGGGCCAACGGCCTGGGCCCTAAGGTCTTGCTGACCTGAGTCGGACTGATTTGTGTGTGGACGGAAGGGAGGGTCTTGGGCTCAAACATGAGGCAGAGCCTGGCTGAGTGTGCAGAGCAGCCAGCCTGCTGGAGAAACAGAGATACGCAAAGAGTCCTTTGCTATAAAATGCTGCACTTCTGCTTCAGGCCTCCAAATCCAGGGCTGTAAACACCGAGGCCAATGATTAACTCTAACTGAGTTTTAAATCACAATTCTCCTAACAAGTCACGACCAACCTCAAGGAACAAGACATTACTGAAAAGGCGCCTGCGGGCAGCTCTGAGAGGCTAATCATCCTGGGTCCAACTCTGAAACACACAACATACTCCCATCACATCACAGTGGAAGTACCGCCTTATCCAGATATGAATAAGGGCATTGACTGATCCTGTCTGATTCAATCCACTCCTCCTTCATCAGTCCCACACATGGTGAGTGTGCTTATCAGTGGCACTCCATTTCCAGTAGCTGGAAAGCAAACCAAGTTTATTTGACTTGGGAGGGGCGGGGTGGGTTAGCTACAAAGATTAAGAACATTTCTGAGCGAATTATGGCAGTTCTGAGATTCACCTGCGTAGCACTACGCATCGATCATTTTCAATCCCTGCAGTAAATCTCACAGCTCCAAACTTGGGGAAGGGAGGTGACTTTCTGCAGTGAGAATGTTTCAGTGAATGTTACTATCCTGCAACCCATTTAATCTGTGGCTTTTTTGGACTCAAACAACATCTCTGCTTCCCAAATGAGCTTTAATTATATTACTACGTCTTTGATCATGACCTATGGATTTGACACAGTCCAGTGGGTATAGAAGAATATTCAACTCATTTAACTTAAAACCGGCAAACACTGAGTTTCGACTCTCAGTTTCCACACCACACAAGGGCTACGTCTACACTGGCCCCTTTTCCGAAAGGGGCATGCTAATTTTACAGGTCGTAATAGGGAAATCCGCGGGGGATTTAAATATCCCCCGCGGCATTTAAATAAAAATGTCCGCCGCTTTTTTTCCGGCTTTTAGAAAAGCCGGAAAAGAGCGTCTACACTGGCCCCGATCCTCCGGAAAAAGGCCCTTTTCCGGAGGATCTCTTATTCCTTATTCGGATTTCCCTATTACGACCTGTAAAATTAGCATGCCCCTTTCGGAAAAGGGGCCAGTGTAGACGTAGCCAAAGTGTCTACTAGCACCTTATTCTGTGATGGTCTTTTTCATCCCCAGCTCCTCCATTAATGCACACACCCTACTGTGGCTATTAGAGAAAAAGCAGTGTCTGAAATCACTTTCCCTCATTCTCTCTCTCTCTCTCTGTGTCTCATACAGCCCTAGTTTTCAAGACTCAGCTGATTTCTAGTAGGCCTGTCAAAGCAATTTATTTTCCTATCCTGATAATTTCATTTTCTGCAAGCGGAGAACATATCACAGACTGATATGTTTTGATTATGAGAATTGTGAAGACTAAATGGGGAAGACAGCAATGCTATATATGCACAAAAAAACCTACTGCTACTTTCTTTCTGAGGCGATTTTGGAGCCTTTTGGGTAAGTCATGGATTTCTCGAGGATAGCCCTGATAAGGACAGTAAGTGCATCCTCACAAAGAGAAGCCAACCTCAGGCGTTTGTTCTGACCAAATATTGTGGCAGTTTCTGATGTTGAGCTGGAAGTTTGGAATCAAATGAGATCTAAGTTATGTCAAAGGCCTGTATTTTAGCATTCGGTTAAAGGCAGAACATTTCCCATTGGGTAAATAACCAGCCCACTTTTTCAAATATTCCTTCTTCTCTGCAATGGCAGTGATTACTTCCAAAAGTAACACTACAAACCAAACTGTGATTCCTTTAGTAAATGTTGATGGAATTTTTCATCCCTTTCCATTAAGGTCCCTGACACTGAGGGCCATGAAGAAAATAGCAAGAAGCTGTCATTGATTAAAGTGAAACAGTGCCCTCTCCTGTCTCTTCCTTAGTACTGCAGCATAGACACATGATTGCAGCAATTGATGGGAACCAGGCTTTGTACATTACTGCACTCAGTGTAGTTGTAGCTGTGTTGGTTCCAGATATTCGACAGAGAAGGTGGGCCAGGTAGTATCTTTTATTGAACCAATTTCTATTGGTGAGAGAGAGAGACAAGTTTCCTGCCACAGTGTTCTTTTTTTCAGAGCAGGGAAAGGTTACTCTGAACATCATTGCAAAATGCAAGGTGGAACAGATTGTACCAACATAGTTAGCATATGGTAGATTGGCCTATTGCATTCTCTGCAGTCATACAACAAAAAGAGGGTGTTAGTAGGTTACAGGGTGTTGTAATAAGCCATAAACCCAGTGTCTCTCTTCAGGCCGTGATTTTTAGGGTTAAGCAGAGTAATGAGTTTAAATTCCCAAGCTTTCTTTTGAAGGTAATTGTGCAGGTTTCCTGTGAGGAGGAGGATGGAGAGGTCAGATATAGAGCAGCTGCCTTCTGGAAAGTGTTCACTCACAGATAACAGGTTTTTTTTGTCTTCTATCATTTTCTTATGGGAGTTCATTCAAGAGAACAGTGATTGTCTGTTTTCACCCACATAGCTGTTATTGGGGCATTTAGTGCACTGGCTGAGATGCATCACATGTGATAGGCATGTGTAGGATCCAGGATCTTGAAAGCTGTATTGTGGGGGGCGTGACAGATCATTATAGCAGTGGAGATATGTCTGCATTTGTCTCATCTATTGGTCTAGCAGGGTGAATGGGTGTTCCCCAAGATCTGACCTCTCAGTCTTCATCCTCAAAGGAAACCTGCACAAGACTTTCAAAAGAAAGTCTGGGAACATGGGCAGTTGCTGCTTGGGATGTCAAGTGCCCCAGCCTGTGGTCCTGCCCATCCTCCACCCCTATCTGCCCAGTCCTCTCTCCCCCAGGCCCAATGCTCCATTCCTCCGCACAGTCTCCCTCTTTTCTCCACTCATCCATTCCAGCCAAATCTCTGAACTCAAATGTAGCATATGGCATTTGGGGGAAAAACCCACCACCTTTCTTCTAAACTGTCTTTCTAAAGACAATGAAGCATGTTGTCTACAGCATGTCAGATTGTGAAGACTGGACATGCAGAAGGTACTTAATTAAATGCATTACATTTGGGAATAAAAATGTCAGTCACAGGGTTTTTGATATTTCCTGAAGTTTTGTCAGAGATATATTTGAAAAATACTCTGTAAAAAGGGCAAGTCAGTTGTAGGGATATAAATTCCCGTTTAATCAGTTAACTGGTAAAACATTAGCTTTAACTGATTAAGCGGGATCCCAGGCAGGGGACCATTCCAGTCCAGCTGGAGCAGCCCACAGTCTGTGGGGCTCCTGGCTCCCACCGAGGCCTACAGCACATTGGGTCTGGCAGGGCTGGAGCAGCCCCTCCACCTGTGGCAGGCCACGGGCAGGTGAGTCGCTGCCAGGCACCAGTAAACCGTTACCTAGTATACTTTGTAGTAAGTGCAAATCAGTTGTCTTGTTGAATACAACATTAAATATTGGAATACATGATACAGTCCTTCTCTGTTTTACATTTTCTTCATCAGTATTTCTCCTAAGCTGATTTTATGTTTTTAACAGATTGTTGACTCGAGTCACACGACTTGAACTCGAGTCCGACTTAAGTCGCCTAGGTGACTCGACTTGAGACTTGACTCAAGTTCATTGTTTGTGACTTGAGACTTGCTAATTTTGTTAAATCGACTTGGTGAAAAAACTATCCGAAAATACCGATATCGATGGCTTGTACAAAAGTGACTTGACATTTTTAAAATTAAGACTTGAGACTCGACATGGGACTTGACTCAAAAGTGACTTTAGGGACTCGAGACTCGACTTGAGACTCTAACTGTAGTGACCTGAGACTCGACTTGGACTTGAAAATGACGACTTGAAGACAACATTGGTTTTTAATACACTCTTAACCCTTCATAAAGTAATCATTGCAGATTACTACTTATTTAAACTCTCTGAAACAAAGACATTATTTTAAATTAATCAGTCAGAGCAGTTTAGTGTGTTCATAACAAAGTTCGTGAAAGTTTAGGAGGGAATGCTTATTTTGTGTGATTTTCATAAGACACATTTATGAATTTTCACGATATGTTCATGTTAAAATATGTGTCCAAAGATTTTAGGCATAAGAAAAGGAGTTTATATCTTAGGAAGGTACTGATTTTGGAGGAGGGTTCTCTTAAAACTAGTTCATCAAATAGTCAGAAGGGAAGCTCATTTGTCCAGCTAGCTGGAAGAAAAGGACTATTGTCCATTTAAGGGCTCTCTTCAATGGGGCTGAAAGGAGAACAGTGAAGGACAGGAAGACTTTGGAAGCAAGTGTTTGCACTACAGTAATTAAAGTTAAAATGCTTCAGAGGGGTAGCCGAGTTAAATACAAATTAAATACAAATTAAAATGTGTATTTTAGATAAAGGTGGTCTTTTAAATAATTTATTCCATAAACCATGTGGACTGAAGAACCAAGCAGTTATGGCTAAAGCTGAACACTCACATTGTGCGCCCAAATATCTGTGCATGGATTTTTTCCAGAGATGTGATTGTATAATGTTCAGCCACAAACTAATGAAATATTTAAAGCAAATTTTTAAACTAGAGACCTGTAGAGGTAGTAATGCACAAGTGTCTGTCAGTAAATTGAGTGGGCACATGCCTGTTGAATGGCTGCATGACCACTTTACGGCTCTTTCACAGGTTCAGTGTTATGCTAATAGGTCTGTCAAGTGGGAAGGTTTTTCACTTTTAAGTTAACAGATCCACTTCAGGGGGAAGAGTCACCAGTTTGCAAACTGCAAACAGCCTGCTATGTGAGCCTTCAGAAAGGGTCAGAATAAGGATAGGAAGAGAGGAGAGTTGAGCACTAAGGCCCAGGGGAGGCATTGCTTCCCCTGGCCTCATATACCCGCCACCATGCCTGGGAACTTACATTGATTACTCTGCTAAACTCTAAAAATCATGGACTCAACAGAAACACTTTTGGATTTATGGCTTATTACAACACCCTTTAACTCCCCCTTTTTTTTAATGACCGTAGAGAACACTACCTTACAATACCTTACAATACATGCTAACTACTTATGCTACAATCTGTTCCACCTTGCATTTTGCTTTCGGTGATGAGATTGGAAAGGTTGGAGAGTTGTTTAAAGGCCAGAAGGGTTTGAAGACCAGAAACAAGATCCCACAAACCAGGATACACTCTGCTAAACACTAAAAATCATGGCTGAACAGAGATACTGGATTTATTGCTTGTTACAACAATCTGTAATCCACTAACCCCATCTTTTTTGTCCTATGACAGCAGAGGTCTTACTTGGCCACTCTGCTTTGAATGGTCCCTTACAATATGTGCTAATTACTTCTGCTAAACAATCTGTTCCACTTTGCATTTTGTGCTGTGACATTGTACCTTTCCCAGACCTGAAGAAGAGCTCCATGTGACTTGACAGCTTGTCTTTCTCACCAACAGAAATGGGTCCAATAAAATATATCACCTCTCCCACCTTGTTTCTCAGTTGATACATTAATCAGAGATCTGATAGGGCACTTCAAAAGACTGAGTGAACGACTGAGGCTTGGTGGGAGAGAGCGTTGTTTATGAAACAGAATAAAAAGTTAACAAAAAAATGCATACTTAGAATTATGCAGAATGATACAAAGACTTGCAAAGGGGCTTTTAATCTAACAAAAAAATGCATACTTAGAATTATGCAGAATGATACAAAGACTCGCAGAGAGGCTTTTAATCGGTGAGAGTTTTCTCAAAAGAGTTAGGTTTGTTACACAGGGAACTTGAGAATTAGGATATATATTCACATCAAAGGGTTCTAATGCCATTATCTGAGCACACAGATGGGCGTGTTATATTGTTCACTATTTTCCCGTGTGAAGCTAGCACAAGAAAAATATCTTCCCATTAAAACAGATCAGAGATGTCCCTCTGTGCTCCTGCATGGACTTGCTAATTATGATCTTTTTGTTTTTTAATAGATCCATGGGGAGGGAAAGCACAAAAGAGCAAAACAGATTTTTTAAATGTAAGCTTTGGATTAAAAGATTGTTCTGAAGAGTGAGATGGTGGAGCGTGGGTGTGATGGGTAGAAGGATTTTTACATACAGCTGTCTTAACCTCTTATGTGCTTTACTTCATTTGCACATGCACATTTTATTGGCTAAAATATAGAATGGTGTCGTGAGTCTTCCTCAAACTTGAAACATAACTTTTAAAAGATCTGATTCCCAAAGATGACAGCTTTGAAACAGGACTTTCTTGCTAACTGATGGGGTGCATCTTGCCAGATACGACAATTTATCTTAAATCCCAGTAAATAAAACACAAGTATTAATCATACTTTTACCACTACAAACAGCAGATGATGGGAGACTCAGTTTCACTATGTGTTTAACTATGATGCACGACAGTGTGTGTAGCGGCATAATGCACACTGTATTTCCATCTGCTAAGGGTAACTAATGCCATGCACTTCGATTCTTTAGAGTAACCTGACAAATATACAGTTATAGAAATGACTGTTAGAACTTACTCTGCTAGTATCAACAGGTCCTAAAAGAATCACACTTGACATTTTTTATTTGGGAGACAAAGAGAGTTCTCATACAGCCAAGTCAGTGGGTCCGCCACAAACTCAATACAATTCCCAACAGTTATTTGCAGAAGGGTCTAAAGAAAGGAGGAATATTTCCACCTACCTATGCTATGGAGGTCTGACCATTCCCTTCTTCAAGCCATAGGGCAATGGTGGCCACGAAGGCCCATTTCCCTTTATTGTGCACTGTTCACTAGGGCTGTGTCCAGACTCAGGGGTTTTTTCGGGAAAAGTAGCCTTTTCCCGAAAAAACTTCCCCTGCGTCCAGACTCAAGCCGCGTTCTTTCGAAATTATTTCGAAAGAACGCGGCTTTTCTTTCGATGGCGGTAAACCTCGTTTCACGAGGAAGAACGCCTTCTTTCGAAAGTTCCTCTTTCGAAAGAAGGTGTTCTTCAATGTAAATAGGGCTTCCTCGAAAGAGAGCATCCAGACTCGGTGGGTGCTCTCTTTCGAAAAAGCAGATTGCTCTTTCGAAATATCCGCCTGTCGTCTAGACGCGATCTTTCGAAAGAGGCCTGCAGTCTAGACATAGCCTCCGGGTATGTCTAAACTACATGGCTCCGTCAACGGAGCCATGTAGATTTGTTTGTTCAGCAAAGGGAAATGAAGTCGCGATTTAAATAATTGCGGCTTAATTTAAATTTAAATGGGTGCCGTGCTGAGCCGACAAACAGCTGATCAGCTGTTTGTCGCCTCAGTGCGCTAGTCTGGACACTCCCCCGCCGACATGAAAGGCCCTTTTTCATTTAAATTTAAATGAAGCCGCGATTATTTAAATCGCCGCTTCATTTCCCTTTGCCGATCAGCCTAATCTACATGGCTCCACCGATGGAGCCATGTAGTTTAGACACACCCTAGGAGTGCAGCTACTCAGCAGGGCTTAATTCAAAATAAGCTACGCAAATTGAGCTACATCAATTGTGTAGCTTATTTTGAAACTGGGAGCGTCTATGCAGCACTTATTTTGAAATGGAGCACTCTTCCTCCAACTTCCCTTACTCCTTCCACAATGCGGGTTACAGGAGTCAGAGTAAGAAGTCCTCCAGATTGACAGTATTTCAACATTATTCTGAAATAACTGTCTGCTGTGTAGATTGGGGAAAAATTTATTCTGTAATGATGCTAGTTATTTCAAAATAATGTTGCTGTGTAGATGTACCCTTGCTGTTTGCTCAGTGAAAAAGGAATTCAGGACACAAAACAATGTGGGGATAGCACCATTCCAGGAAGTGCTCGATCATGTGCTATATTCAGACCTGGAGTTGTTATCATTGGAGGTGCACCTTCTTCAATCAAGCCTGACTCTGGACATAAGCCTTTCCAGGTTTGGAACTAAGCCCTTCCATTCCACATATCTTATCAGAAAGGGCCCTGAAATATGCTTACAGTAACATCATCATTCAAAGTTACTGGCTCAGTGCAGTTACTAAAATTCCATCCACAATCTCACTGCCAGGACGGCTACATTATAGAAATGATTCTGTACAAAAAAAAAAAAAAATCACAAAGCAAACCAAATCTAAAAATACACTCAGACACAGGAAATAATAAAGTTAAAAAAAATCAAATCACAGGAAATAATGAGGCTATTAGAAAAAAAATCAAACCAAAAACTTCACTCGTGTAATTTCTCCCAACAAAATAAAAATTCAAATAATAGATTTCAAACAAATTCTTTGTAGTTAAGTACTTAAAGCAATGTCCTTATGGCTTAAGAGAGCAAAGTGCACTGAAAGGCAGTCATTTCATTCACGGTCTCCATTTCTACATTCACCTTCACGGTATGTTCCAATTGTCCCCTGTGAAGCTCCGTACACAGGCTTTACTGTAAGCGAGGTATGCTCCTTTCCTCACAGGGCTATGAGTCAAGCATGCATCTCTAAGATACTTTCCATCCCAAGAGCTGTGGATAGTTCTCTCAACGTCAAAACCATTGAACGCACTCTCTAAAGTTTTTGGTTTGGAATCGCTTTCTTTTCCAGAGGGTTTGGAAAGGAACATAAGTCCAATATCAAGTCTGCACAAAGTACACACCTAGCATTGCAATGCCCGGAAGCAGTACTGAAGCATAAAGCCGTACTAAAGTCACCTGCTCTGAGCAGGCACTGAAAGGTAACAGCTGTGCGGAGGTTGTGCTCGTACTACTCCTGTCCAGAAGTAGTGCCAATGTCCAATCAGTTCCTCATCTGCCCTGAAGAGGCACTGGCAGATAACAGCAGTCATAACACAATGACTGTATCAAACCTGCCCTAAAGGCCATTGGCAGGGAGCAGCAGTGACAATGCCAAAGCTGTTTCACACCTCCGCTGAGAGGATGTGGACGAAGAGCAACAACAACAATGCCAAGACTGTTCCAGACCAATCCCAAAAAGCCTTAATAAGTTGCATCAGTGCCAATTTCTCATGGCTGTTCCCCAAACACATCTGGAAGGAACTGCCAGATGGCAGCAATACCAAGCACATGATTACTTCACAATAATTTTTTCAAACACCTCATGGAAAAATGGTGTCACAGGACTGTTGCTAAGTCCAAAAGCTGGACTGGGATTCTTTAAACCACTGACCGCTTCCCCCTGAAATGCGGATCAACTCAACAGACTTGGGCAAAAGCCCGCAGTTCTGAGGGGGGTCAAAAATGGGGCAGTACAAAGTGGATATAAAACAAAACAAACAAAAGAACTCTCACTTCTAAAAGCTGGTGGTTTGGTGCACAGAGCGAGCCTGTAAATGTGCATGAGGTAATTTGCAACCCTAACATTTGAAAACCCGTTTATCTTTATTTGGAGACACTTTGTTGCTTCTGTCATGTACAAAGCTGCAACAATCAATAAAAGGCACCCATGGACACCAAAACTTACCCCCTTCATGTGATGTGTCTTTGTGTTAAAGCATCAAAGAAAAATCAAACAGAACCAGCTAACAATACGTACTTTTTACAGAGCAGTGAGCAGTGCTGCGGAATCAAGTCAGAGTGGCATGGTGGGGAGGAAATTTCTTGGCTTCTATCAACAAGTAAGGACAACACCGATGACTGAAAACCAATTAATCAATTAGCTACTTTCCCAGTTTGTAACTGTCACATTCATTCAATTTTTCCTCATCTTGCTATTATTTTTCCTTCCAAACGTGCAACTGAATGGCACATGCAGTCTACCAAAAGAGGGTTAGAGTCATACCAACAACAGTCTGATACCACATCAGATTCTTCCAGCTGCTTCGCCCAGTACCATCTACATTGCTTTCAAGTTGGCCCCTCTTAAAGAAGCCCAGGAGTGGGACTATTTTAGGAATTCAAAGACCCTGTTTGAGCAGGATAGAAAAGCAGGTAAGATATTCATTATCAGAAACACCCTTAGGGAATCTACAGGGCAGGAGAAGTGATAACACAGTAAACTACTTAGCTGGTGTTTCTAAGGTGGAAGCAGAATGTTGATTAGGACCAAGGGAAACAATGTTGTAGTTTTTCCATGAAAAATCTTTTGCCCCCTTCTTTAAATATTCCTACTTGATCCTGATGAAGGGGAGGGGAAGAGCTTGGGAGGTTTTCTGTGTTTTCTCTCCTCAAATTACATCACAAAGTCACCCTCTCTAGTTGGAAAGAGGAAAGAAGAAGAATATGGGAGCTGCTTCCTGCAGCAGTGTTACAAAAGTGTTAAAAACCCCTACTATTCACAAGTGGTTAAAACTGTAACTTTTCAGAATTTTTTTTAAAACAAAAGTTTAGCTAGTTCAGCTCTGTGTTTTACGAGTTGATTGTCTTCAGAAAAATAGACTCAAATTCATGTTCACCTCTGTTCTACCCTGATAGAGAAATTTACCCACAGTTCACTGCACCGATCACACACACAGTCACTGTGAAAGGTCATTCTCGTCTCCACAGGAGTTTCGGCTGTGCTGTCACGTCCCTCCCAGTGTCAGACAAAGGAGGAGAACCCTGTCACTGGAGTCCGTGAGCTGGGCGCAGGCTGTCCTGTTGGGGTGTACACCCCTCCTGTGCTCTGCGTTGTAATGACAGTCTGGAAATAGGGTTCTGTCTCACTCGCTGCACACTCTTCGTACCTGTAGGACGTTGGGGGCTTCACACCCTTCTGCTGACGCTTCCAAGAATTGTAGTATGTGGGGTCACTCATATAATGGTTCACAAAAGAGTGCTTTGGCAACTCATCTTCGTAATCTGAGTCAGTGGCCTGCAGCATGGGAGAGAAAACAGCCATTAGCGTCCATGTCTTAGCTTGTTCTTTATGTAGATAGATTATACCAAATAACAACCACCACATATGTTGCACTTAGTTTACAGTGTTTGTAGAAAAATACCGGGCTCTGATTTAGCACAGCTCTGTGAGAGTGGAGTTGGGCTGGAGAGAAAGCCTTCTCCCTACCCAACGAGCTCCTTGCTGCAGGAGATACAGAGATGTGTCATGATTCACTGGGAATACTGCTATAAAAGTAACAAGCTCCATTTCAGTAGAAGGATGCAAGGGAATGTACAGATGTCGTGGTGAAATAAAAAGCCTTCAATCATTTCATCAAAATGCTCACAGTTTCAATTTCAAGACAAGGGAAGTCTTAATAAATGTTGAGCAGAAAAAGTTTTTCAGTATCTATCACATTATGGCATGTAGAGAAAAAAAATTCACGCAAATCCCCTGGCTCGAGCCAAAAATGGTAACCCTGAGGCACCCACACATCACCGGGATTTGCTTGCAAGCCCCACTGATTTTGAAAATTAGCTACATCGTTACAAAGGAAATGAAGCAAAATCTCATTTTATTTCAAGCACAGAACAATTGCCCTTATGTTCCAACTGAGTTTGTTTTTACAAACTTGTAGTACTGAAAGATAACTGAGCACCAAGAATGAAAGAAAGCACCTCCAAAGTGGTGGAGCTCTTTCCTGGGATGGTCCTTATGTAAGCTTGTGCTCAGATAGACTCTTCTGCCATCAAATAATTGTGCAAGATGACTGGCTAGCTAGCTAACAAACTGACCCACCAACTAGCTGGAATCTGGAGTCAGCCAAGCAGGTCCTTCAGGTGCAAACAAGCTTTGTAGGTCTGCCTGGCTTTTGAAGAGGCGTTGCTATTACCCAACAGAGAGAATCTCAACCGTTTTGTAGATCTCATCAGACTATGGCGACTAAAGCAAAGCCTTGGATGAGGGATGCATTTCAGGTGCATCCCCTCTGTCTTGTATTTCTATTCCCACCAAGAACAGACATCATGTAAAATCTACAAATATTTGCTTAAATATTACCATAATTTAGATTTTTGTTTAACACCATTGGGCTTGTCATGCAAAAATTGATTTTTCTATTTTCTGAAAGGCTGATTGCTTCTGAAAGTCTTCAGATATCAAAGCTACAATTGCCTATGAAGTACAACAGATATATGGATAACTAGAGTTCGTAGTTTATCATTTCTGGCATTGGTTGTAAAATGTTGGATTATCTTTAGGATGTTTCCATGTCATTATGATGTGTGACACTGTACAGCAAACACATGCCCCCTCATCTCCTGTGTCCTCCTTCAAATCCCCCTTTAACTACCTTTCCACATTCTCCAAAGAACAATCGTCAGATGCCCTGTAAACTACTGTTAAAAAAGGAAGCCAAATTCTTCAGCCCTTTCCTTGTCAGTTATGCTGTAGTGACACTTGCAAATGCACCCTGTCATCATCCTGAGAAGCAAGCTCTCGGCTTCATGCAAAAACCCTATTGAACAGATGTCTATTGTATAGTGCCTAGAATGTCACCAAATCTGGGCTATTTCATATCTAAGGGGAGTTCTGGAATCTCATAACCCATGGATCTGTCTCAAATGTTTCTGCTGACTTCAGCTATGGCAGCATGGCATGGGAAGAGAAGCAATCTTTTAGGCAGGCTGATCCCCTGACCATGTAGGTAATCAATAGGGATGTAAAATCCCGTTTAATTGGTTAACCGTGATGTTTAACTGGTTAACTGATTAAAGGGGAGTCAGGCGGGGAGCCGCTCCAACCCAGCTTTCACATCCCTAGTAATCAACACCTTAAACTCTCTCTGGAAATCAATAGGCAGCTAATGCATATTACAGAACATCGGTATCACATGCTCCCAGCAAAGTGTCCTGCTCAGAAAGCAAGCCACTACATTCTGCAGCAGCTTCAGTCTTTGAATAGTTTTAAGGCAAAGGTGAGCAAGATCCAGACCGTGGTCTAGATTTGGCCCGTCAAGTCATTTGATCTGCCGCTTCCCCGCCCCAGGCTAATTGAGACCTGGGGTGAAGGACTGAACAAAATCATTCGCTGTTCAAAGCAGCTGGTGGCTCCCTTCCCCAGCCATTTTGAACAGCAAATGTCTTTGCGCACTCTCCTGCCCCGAGGTCTTGACTGGCCTAGGGATGGGGAGTGTACAAAGTCTCCGTCTCCTGCCTGGGGTGTGTGGTGCCCAGAGGGAACTGCGCCCTTCCACCAGAGGCCCTGGCCCTTCTTGGGGGGACAGAGCTGACCCATGACTGTGTATTAAAATTCGTGAAGTAGCTTCCCTGCAAAAATTATTGCCCACCCCTGTTTTACGATGTAATTCCATGTACAGGACATTGCAATAGTCTGATGCAGAGATGAAAAAAGCATGGTTAACCCTTCTGCTATATGCAGCCAGTAGCAACCAGAGCTGGGTTCAACATCTAGAGGTTCCTTTTCTACAGTACAATACAAAACGGGCATGAGCCACCACACAGTAACCTGGGAAAATTACACACCATCCTTCGGTGCATCCTTCCTCACACAAGCCACAGAGTCTGAGCACAGAAAATAAACGTTTAATTAAATGAGGTAAATCACCCACCATTAATTAGGGAAAATGCCACAAGCAGGATTCATAAACATAAAACTGAGCAGGACGCCCACCCCAGATTGTGTGGGCCAGAGTTTTCTGCCTCATCTTCTTGAGCTCTATAATATTCTCTTACTGTTGTCCTGCTTTGTTACCTCAGCACACACTTCACTCATGGTGATTCTTCTTGGTCAGTAAGGACACAGGGTTCAAAGGTGCATCTGTGTGAGGTCACCGTCCATCAAGGGAAGAATGCACCTTGCTTGGTCTGCCATCTAGTACTTGCCCTGGCTAGCCACCCCATCAGCCACACCTCCTCTCTAGGTCTGCCCCACCAGCTTGTGACCCTTGTTGCCTGGCCACCCCATCTTCCATAATCCTTCCTCACTTGCCATACTTTTGCCAGCCACTCCAACTGGCCAACTGCTTTTCACTTTTCTCAGGACATCCATCAATTGCCATCTGCTGCCACCTGCCTCTTGGCTGTGACCTCAGTCTCTTAGGGTATGTCTACACTACAAAGCTAATTCGAACTAGGCGTTAGTCCTCGTAAAATGAGGTTTACCTAGTTCGAACTAAGCGCTCCGCTAGTTTGAATTAAGTTCGAACTAGCAGAGCGCTATTGTAGAGCCTATCTAGGGGTATGTCTACACTACCACCCTAATTGGAACTAGCGGGGTAATCTAGGCATACCGCACTTGCAAATGAAGCCCGGGAAATTCAAATCCCGGGCTTCATTTGCAAGTGCGGTATGCCTACATTATCCTCCTAGTTCGAACTAGGAGGGTAGTGTAGACATACCCCTAGATAGGCTGGTCAGAACTTTTCAAGAACCAGGCCCCTTTAAGGAATCTCAAATGAAGTACCCCAAAATCTCTGAAGAACGTTCAGCGAATCCTTTACTTCAACACAATGTCACATACTTAAATATGTGTTCCTTCAATTAAATTATATTGTATTATACAAATTCTCTATGATATAGCTGCTCTTGACCGCAAACTTAGTTCCCCCATTTTCAGATGCCTGGAAAAAAATGAGCCTTTTGGTGAGACTTGCAGGTAATCAGAATTCTCAGACCAAGAAGAGAAGCAAATTCCATATCTGTAGTGTCCTGACAGACTATGCCATGTCAGCTATCCTGCCCATTTATACTAATGGGACTCCACATCTGCAAATCTCAGCTTTGTGGTATACCATGGAGAAAGAGTGAATTTCTCAGACTGTATCTAAACTACATCCCTTTTTCAATAAAGGGATGTAGATTAGGCACGTCGATATTGCAAATGAAACCGGGGAGTACAGGATCTTTCAAAACGAGGTATTTCTGTCAAAAATGCCCCATGTAAACTGCTTTTTTTTTCGAAAAAGCCCCGTTTTGAAAAAAAAAGCAGCAGCTGCCATTATGCAAATGAAGCACAGGATATTTAAATCTCAGCTTCATTTGTAATATCTATTGAAATATCTTTTATTGAAAAAAAGGGATGCAGTTGAGATACAGCCTCAGGTACTAAGTCATTTACAGCTTTAAAGGTCAAAAACAGAACCTTACATTTCTTCTGGAAATTCACAGCCAGCCAGTGCAAAACATGGTGCACAGGTTAAATCTACCAAGTGGGCCATCACATTCTGCACCATCTTTAATATCCAGATGGATCTAAGCTCAGCCCTATACAGATAATGTTCCAGTTGCATAATCCTGATGTAAGTGGCAAAGACATGCCTGGCAGTTGCAAAGGTGAACATATGAAAAGACCAGTTATAGCTGTTTGGCTGTAGATTGAATAATATAACAGATCTGGCCATTTCTGCAACTTAATCTTCTAGTAGTGGAATAAACATTTTCTGAAGGGTATACGGTAGATATCCTGTAATAAAGAGAGTTTCTATTTTTGAACACACGTGTTCTTTATTTTTTACATCAAGAAAGAGGGCTAGGGAGGGGTAAGTGGAAGGAGATGAGGGAGGAATGGGACACGAGCCTCTGATGGGGAGGACTGGGGTGGCTCTGCGGGCTCCCCGGGGTGGAAGATCTCTTGCAGGGCCTCCTGGATCCTGACAGCCCCCCAATTAACCCTACCCCCGGATGGCAGCCTGCGGCAAGTGCAGCCGGGCTGATGGCTGAGTGCTGTGATGTGCTGAGTGTGGGCACTCAGGGCACTCCAAGCCAGGACTGCTTTGCAAGCGGGGAACCCCTGAGAACTGTCTGTCCGGGGTGGGGGTCGGGTCCCTTTAAGAACAGCCCTCGGCTAGCCTGAGGCAGCAGCTCCACGCTCTAAGTCCTAATCTGATGCCCTGCCGGCACTGCTTCTGGCCATCCTTAACCTCAGTTCAGGGTCCACTCAATGTGGACATGCTAGTTCGAATTTGCAAAACGCTA